GAGACCCGGCCCAGCTGCTCCCCTCGCGGCTTCCCCCGGACGATGGGCCAGGACTCAGCCGGGCAAGGCCTGAGCTTCCTTTCATGTCTCAGAGGCAGATCCTAGTTACTGAACTTAGCGGAGGCTACTAGACCTGTAGCTACCTGCTGTTACCAACACTGCTCGGCTGCCCTTAACACCACCTCGTGTTTGCTTTACAGCCACTGCTTCCCTCCCCCACCCCATCCAGCTTACATGCTCAGTTAAAAAATAGGATTTAAGACCTGGATCCGCAGTTTCTGTACGTTTTTTAGTCCATCTGCAGAGTCCTGGAGGACCTCAGTTCTGCAGGTGAAGTGAATTATTCTTAGACACTTACCTTAGATAAAATGGCCAATGCAGAGCTCCCCACAGCTGATGGGAGAGATGCTTTTGGCCAAACATAGCCACGGCTACCAAGCTCTGACTCTGTGGGTTAACCTGAGTTTCTCTGAGCTTGCAGTACTGAGTGGGAGATGCCAAACAGCATTCCTAAATCCAGAGGCACCTGTAAGCACACTAGCTGTGTTTCACAGCAAGGACAGCAGTTCTTGTAGCCTCTATTAATGCTTCCCTTTATGGAACCCACATCATCCAAGAGCTGTGCATCTGGTTACAGGACTCTGGAGATACAGTCAAGCAAGAGGTAAAAAACTCAAAGATACTTTTTGGTGTTAGATAGCAGGCAGGTGGTCACAATGATACCACCTTTCTATAGTGATTTCAAACCAGACCATTGAAATAGTTCTATTTTTACCTAGGTGGGAGACTCGGATACTATGATGATAGTGACCATAGAAGCACCTTGATTCATAGACTGAGGTTTCCTATTTTAGGCGAACGAAAAATAAGCAGCTGAAATATTCAGTCCTTCTGGATGGCAGCAAGTCTCAGCAGAGATCTGGGGAGGAAGAAGGCGCTTGTGGTTAGGGCACAAGACTGAGCACAAAGTTTATTTCTGGCTGCGTCACAGCACCTCCGTGACCTCGAGCCATTTACTCACTTTCCTCCTTGGTGTTTCAGTTTCCCATTTGGGGCAGGAGGGTGCTCCCTTGAATGGGACACTTTTTCACAAATACTTTGAAATCATGCGATAGACAGCACTAAAGGGGGCAAGAGAGTTTGTACACCAGGGCCACATCTGGATGAGCTAGGGCATGTGCCACACATTCAAGTGTTCTCTGCACTGCAAGGTAGCAGGGGGGAAGTTTGACCCCAGGATCAAAAATTTGTACAAAGAAGTGGGGCAGCACGTGCCACCCAAAACTGGAGCCTGGCTGCCCAGAGTCACACTCCAGCTGCAGGTCCCCGAAGCCCCCAAGTAAGCCTGCTGGAGCCAACACAATTGCTGGCCTCAGCCTCCCCTATGCCACTCAGGGTAATCTGCCAGGTACCAGGGTGTGTGGCACAGGCATTCTCCAGGGACAAGCAGCAGCAGCAGCCCAAGGTGTGTGGCAGCTGCTTGTCCCCAGGGAGACAAATGTTCACGTTTGTGAGGATGCATCCCAGGAGGCTGCATGGGCTGGTGGGCGACTGGGAGTCCAGGAGACTTAGTTAACCTGCCTGCACTTCAGTTTATCACTTTTTACCTGGTCCTCTTAGTCCTCCCTGACCTTTGTAAGATCTGAGATCAGTGGATGAGACATCCTTAAGTACAAGAATTATTAATCGGTTATTACAGCTTTAGTGGACTTCAAATGGACTGGATATAAATTCAACTCTCAGCTTGGCAGAAAGCCCAGCATGGGAAACCTCTGTCCTCACCAGCTGGCAGATCTGCTCTGTTTAAGTGCATCACTTTTACATTTTATCATGGGAAGACTCTTGGAAAGCTCATTATATTACCTGGGTCACTTTCACATTTGTGAGTACTGACTGCAAATTGCTAAGGATTAGGCCCTCATTATGAGTCCCTAGAAAAGGTCCTAGGTGCCAACTTCTGCTCATATTGAATCTGACTGAACAGTACGTTGGCATGCAAGGGTAATTTGGTCACATCTGCTTGCAGAAAATTTAACCATTTTTCAGCATAACTCATTTCTCTACATTCATCCCATGCTTCAGAATGATCTACACAAGAGGCACTATCTGACCCTCAAACTGATCCAACAAATGAGAGGCTGGGGAGCAACATCTGTGGAAGCAAGTCTTAAGCCTTCCCTACTGCTATTTCCTGGAACAAGCTGTGATTCTTACCCCACACAGCCAAGCTCCCTTAAAACTTGAGATTTTAGTCAATGGTAAGACAGAAGTTGTCTACTGTCCCCATCGGGGAATGTAGACAGGACTCAAAATCCTTTGTATTAACAGCAAATCAAAACTGACTTCCAAGCACTGGTTTCCCCTGCCTTTCATCTCCAGTTCTTCCTGGGGTTGCAGGGCAGATTCAGGCCCTGCAGCTTGGCAGAGTAAGGACTAATGAGATCTAATGAGATGCTATTGCTACTCTCCTGGGGGAAGCAAGGGAGCTAACTGCTCTGACTGTTCATTAGGAATTGGTGAATCTATTTGCTGTGTGCATGCAGCTGAGACATGCAGATACTCTCTAAAGACTTGATTTTAGAGGAACTATTCCATTGATCTTTTAATAGCTAGCTTTGTGCATGCACACACATACATCCATATGCCCTTTGCCTCATGCATCTTAAAGCGCTTCACAGACTAAGACAGTCATGGTGCCATTTTACAGAAAGAGAAACGGAGACATAGAACAAGATGAAATGATTCACCCAAGTTCAAAGCCATACAATCAGCAGCAGAAAGTAGGCTTTATGCTCACTAGAAAATACACTGCCTTCCACTGCGTCCATATTCCCAAATGTGGAGAGTGGCAGTATGTGGCTGTTACCAGTTACAGCATTTACCTTGCAGAAGTTCAAGATCAAACTGTCCCAGCTGTTTTCTCACTCCAGCCTTTCCTTTGGAGTTTCTTTGTTCTATTTTGTCATCTGCAGAAAAACTCAAAGTTTAAAGAGCAAAACAAGAGCAATGGAGCTTGTCCCACTGTTTATAGTATTGGGAAAGTGAGGCAGGCCTGGATACATACGTCTGGAAGAGAGGTCATTGAGCCCACCCTTCTGCTCTGAAGCATCCCTCGAGTATTCCTGACAGATGTTGGTCTAAAGAATTCCTAAAACATTCAGTGCAGGTGATTCCACAACCTTCACAGGTAGCTTTTCCCAGTATATAACCATCCTCATAGCTAGATATGAGGAAAGCCTTTCTAACCTGGATCTTCTCTGCTGCAAATTAAATTGACTACTGTTTGAACATAGAGAACGCTTGATCACTGTCCTCTTTATAAGAACCTTTTACATATTGGAGGACTGTTATGACTCCCCTTTCCTGTCTGTCCCTTATTTTTTATAAAAAGAAACCCATTCTTTCAGTCTTTTCTCCTAGGTGCCATTTTCTAAACCTTTCCTCATTCCTTTTGTTTTCCTCTGTATTTTCTTCAGTTGGGCTACATTCTCCAGCTGGACACAGAACTCCAGCCAAGGCCTCACCAGCATGATATTTATAAAGGACTTGGAAGACAGGAAGTGACAAGTGCTACTAAAATGTTTTTATGTACTTACAAGTCCAATGAAATGCTGATAGCTCTGCAAGCCTTTCCGTGCTCCCAACTCATAAACATGTCATCAGAGGATCCCACTTGACAAGGCCAGCTTCACTTAATAATACTCAAGGAAACAAATTCCTATGTTATTCCTAGTTTAAGAAAATGCTGTGGAGTGGGCTGGAACAAGGGGAGCAGACACCAAGTTCATGAAGTTGTGAGCTTAAACACAGCAGCGTTACAAACCAGAAAGTGAGCAAGCATGCATTACAGAGGGGTCAGAGTGGAGATGCAGAGCCAGAGATCAAGTTTCATGGCTGGCATATTCAAGGTAAGGCTCCCCTCCCATCTGACACCAGGAGTTACTGCCAGGCAAGTGCCAGCCAGAACCTCAAAGATTAATGA